GCCGTGGGCCTGATCTCACAGGGTGTGTGTTCATTCAGCCCGTACCAGTCTAGTTCAGCCCGGTTCCGCCGTCGGTACCAGTGCAGTCCAGTCAGTCCGCTGGGGGTATACCCCAGCTGCAGTCTGTACTTTGTATCATTCTTCATTCGCACATTTTGGAGAACGTGAGCGTTGAGTGTACGGCGGAGCTGCGTCTCTGTCTTCCGCCATCTCCACGCTCGTACTCATCTCTCCCTTCTCCATAGCGACGGGTCCACCACCACGGCTGTCTTCTCAGGGTCCTTCAGCCATTATGGAAGGAAGCGTAGAGTGGGTCCAGCTGTAAGGGATGCTGGACCCGGTTTCTAACCATTATAATATTATTAATAAATAAAAACTTGTTAAGAAGTTGATGTTTCTTAAAAAAAAAAAAGAATTATGTGGGTTTTCCAGTTAGCCTTAGAATTTGATTGGACTTTCTGATGAATCCCCTTTCCCGCCTCCGCCCTCCCCCCACCTCCCCCCCCCCCCCCCCCCCCCCCCCCCCCCCCCCCCCCCCCCCCCCGGCCCGCCGATGCTCCTCAGGGTATGCGATGGGTAGATCCAACATCGCCGGTCAGATTTCTGGGGGTAAAACTCAGCATAAAGCGCTGTCGCTCAGAGTCAGCAGTATAACTCCTTTACTCCATGTTAAATAGAATGCAATGCTGGTGTCTTCACCCGAATATAATGCCCAGTCATTATAGCTGTATTTAGGTTGGGGCACTTTTCAGTCCACCGGGCGTTCTATGCGGGTGAAGACAGTAGCACATCTATAATAGATAGATAGAGCTCTTTTGCAAACTTGCACGAAATAACTCGGTCTTAAAGGGAGGAAAAAAAAGGAAAAGGCACAAAGGCACATGATAACATGCTCTTCCTTTTTCTTCTTTTTTTCTTCTTTTTTTCTTCTTTTTTTCTTCTCTTTTTCTTCTCTTTTCTCCCTAAGTTGCTCATTGCATTGCTCTGCCTCCCTTTTTCACTGGCAGCTCACCTGGTTTTGTTGTTTCTCATGTAATGCCTTATAATCCAACCTTGACAACAGGACTAAGGAGCAACTAGGCTATGCTGTTTCTGTATACTGTGCCAACTTCGTTGCTCCCATGAAATGGTTTCAAATACTTGTGGAGTCAGCAGAGTACAGTCCTCATCATATCCGCAGCCGCGTCGACGACTTTGTCAAGAACTTTAGGAAGGAGCTGGTATGTATGCTCTCTCTCTCTCTCTCTCTCTCTCTCTCTCTCTCTCTCTCTCTCTCTCTCTCAGTTGTCGGTCCATCAGTCTCTCTCTCTCTCTCTCTCTCTCTCTCTCTCTCTCTCTCTCTCTCTCTCTC